ATAAAATCTTGTTTGTGCCATTCACCTAAGTCTGTTTCTATCCCAATTTCCAGAAGGGCTGAACTTGCCAATTGATCTTTAACAATGGGCAGACTGACTTCAGGATCTCTGAGCTAAAGCTTGCACAAATCTTTAACAACTCATCTCCTCCCATGAGTCAGAGAACAAAGACAGTATTTTTTAAATGTACAGAATCATATGGGGTCCTTATGGAGCTCTGGGCATATGGAATCAAAGATGTGGGAATAGTCTTGAGGATTATAGAAAGGAAGATTTGGCAGAATAATAAAGGAAGGAAAATTACATCTTGAACACCCTTTCAATCTTTATCAAATTATAACTATTACAAAGATCATTTAAGCATAAAAGAGTCCACCTTAATTGAATCCACTAACTTTTCGAGAATAACAGAGTCAAAATTATGAAATGTTATTAAAGGAAACAGGTCAGTATAAAACTGGCCACACAATAAACTCATTTTGACTAACTGAAGAAAAGAATTATTCTAAGATAGAGCCATAGTTTATTTATGGCAAGATTTGCTAAGAAATATAAGCTTTCAAAGGTCAGGTATTCCTTGTCTTGCTTTAATGAAAAAATCCAAGTCATTTGTAATCAGGCCATTAATTTTATGCCAATGTGCATGGTTAGAGTTTCTCAGGTCTCCATAATTAAATTAAGCATTCTGCTTCTTACATTTTGATTACATTATTCATTTGCTTTGCAGAACAAATGTAAAATCTCTAATTATCAGCATATGAATTAGTGAGGTTCTGCCATAGTACAGGAATCCAGATGAGGAACTAACCAAGGAAGGAAAAGGAAAAAGATGCTGAATTTCTCATAAGATTTTTCTCCAGGTTTTGTAGAATTTTTTGTTTCCCTTTCATTTAAAGATGTAACTACAGATGTTTATTATTTGAGAATGTTAGGATTTAAACATGACTCAATGATCTATAGATTTTACAGGCTGGCTACCAAGTGTGTAAGGTCAATAGCCATAGCAGAAACAAAAATTATCACTGGATGGGCATTTACATAGTGCCAGCCTCTGTCAAGAACTTTATATTTAAATTCTCACTTAGTCCTCTCACTAATATCCATTCTATCTATGAAATATATTACTTTTTCTTTTTATAAATAAATATTTATCCAAAATTTGTTGTAGATTTTATTTACCATTAATAACATCTTTTCATTTTTGGTGGGAGTTGGGGTGAACATTTCCAAATGTTTTGGAGGTCCTAGGTTTCCGTCCAGGCCAACTAGGCTGGTGGTTTAATTTCAAAGCCCAGGACTATAGTGCATCTTGGACTATGTGGTGCCATGGATTATCCCAGTCACTCTGGGGACTCCAGTGCTGTACCCTCCAGTGCTCAGAAGACCATGTTTTGCTGGAGAATAATCCAGGGTCAGTTACATACAAGGCAAGTGACTTGACCCCCATACTATCTTTCCAGCTTTTTCCAATGACACTCTTAACATCTTATCCATTGAAAGTACCAACTATGATTTTTAAGTCCAAACTGAGTATTGCTTTATTTTCTTTGTACCAGCTATTTACTCATAGACTGTAGACTCTACCAAGAATGAGAATATATTTACTATCATGCATCTTGATTCTAGCACTTTATTGGTAGCATTGTAGCACTGTCCTCCCATTGTTCATCGATTTGCTTGAGCGGGCACCAGTAACATCTCACAATTGTGAGACTTGTTGTTACTGTTTTTGGCATATAGAATACGTCACAGGTAGCTTGCCAGGCTCTGCTCTGCACGAGAGATAATCTCGGTAGCTTGCCGGGCTCCCCCAGGGGGCGGAGGAATCCAACTCGGGTCGGCCATGTTGGCTGTGTGCAAGGCAAACGCCATACCCGCTGTGCTATTGCTCCAGCCCACTTTATTGGTACCTAAAAATATTTGTTGAGTAGAAAAAAGAACACTTTTCTGAGTTCATAAGAACCAATTCTTACTTTAAAACTCAGGACGGTAGGAAAACAAATTTAGCCTGCGTCTCCCTCTCTTTACAAAAATCTCTGTCTGCTTTTCCTTGTTCTTTTATATTATAGTCTGAGGCACCATCATCCCTGTGAGTTGAATTTCTTGTGCATTAGTTTCTTGAAAACAGTTGTGAAGTTTGCATTCTTGAAAACATCGTATTGTTCAGATGTCAGTGGACAGTTTTCAACCAGCTGTTAGTTAGCTTAATTGGAAACTGCTCTCGTCTTGGGAGAACTGGGTTATACAAGGTGACTTCATGATGAGCAATGCTAACATAAAAGCACTCAAAGGAAGTCAAGTAGGAAAGTTGGAGAAGTATTTTAGTTAGGAGATAAAAGAAATGAAAAGCGGGATGTTGACAAGTTAGAATGCAGTTATTGGTTTTCCTTTGTTACTTCCACATTAAGTTAAAATATTACAGCTGGTTTAAGTAAAGGAAGCTCTGAATTTCATGCCAAAACAACCAAAAATTCTTTTTAAAAAATCTCTAATTATGGTGCTAATGAGAAAATGTGATGATAGGGACAACATTGTTTCAGTGATCAAAGATGATTATTTTCCAATACTAAACCTTTTTTTCTATCTAGAAATTTCTAAAACAGAAACACTGATTTTTTAATTTATTCATTATTTGCTGACACAGTTGATGATATGAAAGACAAAGTTGGGTAAATAGAGGCCTTGGTTGCTTGCAAATTAGTAGAGAAAAAATAAAAATACACATCTCTTATAAGCAGTAATTAAATTGACCGGTGGGGAGAAAAATAATGCTGTAAGACTTTAGGTAAAAGGAAGTGATCTATTTTTTAAAAGAAATTTTATCTATGAATTAATACTCCAACAAGTGGATCTGAGGGTCTTTAATGATGTTATTGCTGTGGGAAGCCATTTAAGACTAGGAAAATAAAAGGAATTAAAAAGATAGAGCTGATAAAATAAAACAGAAAAGCTAAAAATGTCTATATTGCTTAGCATTAATGGGCAGTCTTTGGGAGTTGAGATGAAGGGCAGTTTTAAAGATTGGTGAATTGGGGCTGGAGCAATAGCACAGTGGGTAGGGCGTTTGCCTTGCACGCGGACAACCTGGGTTCGATTCCCAGCATTCCATATGGTTCCCCGAGCACCGCCAGGGGTAACTCCTGAGTGCAGAGCCAGGTGTAACCCCTGTGCATCGTTAGATGTGACCCAAAAAGCAAAAAATAAATAAAAAATTGGTGAATGACCTTTAGTGATCTAAAAATGAGTCTATATTTTGTTTATGAAATAGAGAATTACTAAAGATAATTTATTAAACATAAGATGCTCCTTTCAATTAATTATGTATTCTGGTCATCGACCATTAATGAGTGAGATGAAAGATTCAGTGGAGTAATAATTTTTAAGTCTTACATTTTTGTACATCTTCATAGAAAAACAATAAAATATGTTTATTCTGATGTATTTTCAAAAATGACATTAGAAGATTGAGATTCCATTTACTTTCTGATAGAGGAAAAATTTTAAGATGAATGAAGGTCCTTTTGAGGACTGGAATTTTTTCAACTCAAACTTTCTCAGTGGGATAAATCTTCCTGGATACTCAATATCCTAGATTGCTGTATGTTTCCCCTGTAGGATTTGGGAACCAAATCACTCATGCAAGACTCAGAAATTTGATGTGCTGTACATTAAAAAAGACATTTGTCTTTGGCAAAGAAGTATGTGTTTTCTGATAGCAATTATTAAACAGTGACACACTAGCTGGTTAATTTAGAAGTTAAATAAAATCTAAGAGGTTTTACAGTTCTTGACAGACTAGAATATTTAAGTCCATGTAAGGGATCAGCAGGAAGCATGAGGCACGTTTTCAGAGATATAATTAACAAAACGCGCCTCTCAATTGGGAAAACAAATTTTAAAAATAATGAGTTTTGAGACTCAGTTTACCAGCGCATAATGTTTATTTATCTCATTAGTGTAAAAGCATTAAGAGAATCTTAAAATGAGTCACAGGAGGAGAGAAAATATTTGCAAAAAGGTCAGATCTGATTAAAAACTGATCACCAAAACAGCAATAAGAAAGCAGAAAGCCCAATTTAAAACTGGGTAAAAGTTCTGAAAAATTAGGATATCCATATATAGACAAGCAGTGAAAAAATAGTAAAGTCATTTAAATGAGATACCATTACACATCTATTGTAGTTTTTCTACATGCTTTAATTTTTTTTTCTTCTGAACCCACTGCTAGGAATGAAAATGCTCCCTAGGGGCTTGGACATGGTACAGGTTGGTAGAACACATGCCTTTTATTCAAAGAATTCCCAAGTATTGATCCTGGCATCACCTCCCTTCTACCATGCACAGAGGTTTCTGCTCTGGAAGCCACAAGTACCACTGGGCGTGACACCAAGACATATTTTCTAATTTCATGTTCCTAGTAATGTTATTTTCGTATTTTAGGAGGGGGATGGAGGATACACCTGGCTGTGCCAGGGGGACTATATGGGTTACTGAGGGTTGAATCCGGGGTGGCTGTGTGCAAGGCAAGTGCCCTACCAGTGTCCCATCACTCCAGTCCTGCTAGTATTTTTATTTTTTAATCATTGAGCCACTGTGAGATACACAGTTACAAAGTTGTTCATGATTTTGTTTCAGTTATACAATGTTCCAACACCTGTCCCTTCACCAGTGTACATTTCCCACCATCAATATTCCCAGTTTCCCTCCTGTCTCCCTTCCCCAGCTCCCTAGCCTGCCTCTATGGCAGATATTCCTCTGTCTGTCTGTCTGTCTGTCTGTCTGTCTGTCTGTCTGTCTCTCTCTCTCTCTCTCCTTGTAGACATTACATGATTTACTTTTTAAATTTTTTTCTCAGCATAAAAACACTTACCCAGTATATGTTTGGCGTTTTCATCTAAAAACAAAAATCCAAAATTAGAAGCAATCAAGCTTCTATTTGGGGACTAATGAATTGCAATTCAGGATACACTAAATGATAAGCACTTAATGTGCCCCACGAAATGGCAAAATTTGGAAACTTTTATCAGAATAAAACACAGGAAGATGAGGTAAGACAAGAGTGAATTAGCTTTAATAAGCTTAAACTATTCTTGGCTATTCATAATTGATTACTGATTCTGTCCTTTGGCAAGCCCTCTGATTGGTCCTTGTGATCAGTGTGTCCACTGTCTCAGTGGTATCTCAAACAGCAACTTGTGAAGCAATTGCTATTTGGCTCACCTGAAGGCACCTTGCCCAGAAAATGGTATTTTTACCACGAGATCGCCGACCCTATTTTAAAATATAGTCATTTTTATGCTGCAGTTTACACCAGAGAAACAATCAGACTGTCATGTAATCAGGAAGGTATTTATTTGGGAATAGAAATCATGCTTTGGGTGCATTACCACATAGTAGCCCCAAGGTGTCAGATCATAGGAGAGTTTTAAGAAAGCACAGTGGGTAGGACACTTGCCTTACATGTGGCCCACATGGGTTTGATCTTTGGCACCTTGTATGGTTCCTAGAGCCTCATCACATTTGACTCCTAAACCCAAAGCCAGGAATAAGCACTGAACACCACCAACTGTGACCCAAAAACCAAGACCAAAACTTAACAACAACAACAACAACAACAACAATATGAATACAAAAGGAAATTGAACATAGTATAGACCTTATGTGAATAAACCAGCAGCTAACAAACACCAGTCAGTGGAGAAAAACAGAAATATTTTTCTTTATACCAGCCACAAGAGAAGAATTTCTATATGAGATAGGTAGATAGAGAAGAGGGATAGAGTAAGAGAGGGAGAAAGAGAGAGAGGGAGGGAGAAAAGGAGGAAGAAGAGAGGGAGTTTGCTTGCCATTGAGGAAGGCAGGAGGTCGGGGTGGCAGGAGAGAAACGGGACATTGGTGGTGGGAAATATACACTGGGTGTTGGAGCATTTTATGACTGAAATCCAATCATGAACAGCTTTGTAACTGTGTATCTCAAAGTGATTAAAAAAATTTCTGTCCTTCCTTTTTTTATTTAATATATTATTTAAGGTTCTAATCAGAGCAATTAAGCAAGACAAAGAAATAAAAGGGATCCAGATTGAGAAACAAGTCCAAACTTTTACTATTTGCAGGTAATATGAAAAAATTCATATAAAACCTTGAAGGATACACTAAAGAACTAATAGAAACAAAAATTCAGTAAAGTGACAGGCCAATATCTGTTAAAATTTTGATATGGTCATTGTTTAATGAACTACAAAAGAAATAAATAAAAAAATTCAAGAAAAGTGTGTAGCAAAGAATTAAGTCACGATCACGACCTTCCTGTTGTTCGTCAATTGCCTCGAGCAGGCCCCAGTAATGTCTCCTTCGTCCTAGCCCTGAGATTTTTTAAAAAGTGCCATATTCGAGGCTCTTTCAGGGTTAGGAGAATGAGACCCCCTCATTGTTACTGGTATTTAGCATATTGGGTACGCCACGGGGGGTTTGCCAGACTCTGCCATGTGGGCAGGTTACATTTGGTAGCCTGCCAGTTTGTCCAAAGTAGGAATGACATAATAAGATGTCATAATAAGATGTCATAATAAGATGTCATAATAAGATGTCGCGTGGCCGCAAATGCAGCCAGGTGCTTCTGGGAGCTGGGTTTTGTAGTCTCTGAGTCTTGGCTGTTGATGGGATTACACGGTGCCAGGGGGCCAGTTGGTGGGTGTGATCCCTGCCTACTGGAATTGGGAGGATCTGGGTGGAAGATGCTCAGCCCCTATCCAAGCAGGCTTGGAGATCTCAACCCCGGGACCTGATGCCTTTGTTCCTCTGCCGGTACCTTCATGCATGTGGAGAGTGGTCTCAGCATGGTGGTGGCTGGTTCTGGAGGTCTTCGGCTGCCAGAGCCCTGGTCGGGGCGGGGAGGAAAACTCAACCCGCTCCCATCCAAGGGGCCCCGGGCGAGGAAAGCGAGGCGCCGGGGCAGGAGACTCTGCCAGCTATAAAACCCAGCTCCCAGAAGAGAACAGCGCAGAGTTATGAAGGTACCTGCAGAGGAACAAAGGCATGCGGATCCAGGGGCTGAGATCTCCAAGCCTGCTTGGATCAGGGCTGAGCATCCTCCACCCAGATCCTCCCAATTCCAGTAGGCAGGGGTCACACCCACCAACTGGCCCCCTGGCACAGTGTAATCCCATCAACGGCCAAGACTCAAAGAATTAAGTATTTGGGAATAAAGGTAACAATGAAGGTAAAAGGCATACCTTAGAAACTGTAAGTCACCTAAAATAAATAGGATATACTCGTAAATGGAGAAATATTATGTTCTTGGATGAAAAGAAATAATGTTTGAAAATGGCCATGATCATAAACAATATGCAGATTAAATGTCATCCTTATCAAAATAACAATGGTATTTCCCTCCTCCTTAGCTTACTTCTCCTTTGCTATTGTAATGACATGGCCAGAATCACCCCTTCCCTGTTGTCATGCTCACACATTGGAATATGGTGATCATCTGGGTTCACACATCTGGTGTGGCTCTTGCTTGTACACTTAGTCATGGTTTGTGCCAGAGCTTGAGCAGTTTAGTTGTGGTGCTTTTACACATCTGGCTGGTACTTCTGAAATGACACACTATTCAGTGCGGGGAGTGAAGTGAGGTGGGGGGAGCAAGGGGAAGAGGTGGCAGCCCAGATCACAGAGCTAATGGATCATGCTCTGTGCATGCAGGTGGCAAGCCATGTGTTAAATTTATAACCTCAAGTTGGCAAAGCACATGTTCTTTTGTACTCGATCATACCCTAACTTCTCTCCCCAATGTAATTCGTCAGAAAAATAGAACAAAATACCCTCAAATAGCCTGTGTAATCTTAAAAGAAAAAAAAAGAATGGAGAAATCGCACTTCCTGACTTCAAACTATAATATAAAATTATAGTAATCTAAATGGCATAGTGTTGGAATTAACGTGCATATGCACATCAGTGGACTAAAATTGAAATTCTAAAACAAATATATATCTTTGAACAGTTAATTTATGCTAAAGAAGTCAAGAACACAAATTTAAGAAAGGGAAGTCTCTTCAGTAAATGATACTGGGAAAATGAATAGTCATATGTCTGAGAATAAAACTGGATCCTTCTTTCATGTCATCACAAAAATAAAATAAAAATGGAGTGAAGATTTGTATGTTAGAATCAAAACCATAATATACCAGGAAAAACATAAGAAAATATGCTCCACAATGTTGGCTTTAAGTGTTGTCTTTGGGAAATTCAGTTTTAATGGCAAGTGAAACAAGAGCTAATATTCAAATTATACAAAGAACTAACAAAAACACAATGACAAAACTTAGGCAGAAGAACTAAACATACAATTTTTCAAAGAAAAGAAGTTGTTAACAGGCACATGGAAAAATACTTCCATTTATTATAAGGGAAATGTGAATCAAAATGATGAGCTATCTCACTTTATAGTAATGGCCCATATAAAAAAGGCCAGAAATCAGTACTGGTGGTAGTATGGAGAAGAAGGAACCCTCCCACATTGTTGGGGCTGGAGCGATAGCACAGCGGGTAAGGCATTTGCCTTTGCAAGCAGCCAATATGGCCAACCCGAGTTCGATTCCTCCACCCCTCTCAGAGAGCCCGGCAAGCTACCGAGAGTATCTCACCCGCATGGCAAAGCCTGGCAAGCTACCCGTGAAGTATTCAATATGCCAAACACAGTAACAACAAGTCTCACGATGGAGATGTTACTGGGCCCGCTCTAGCAAATCGATGAACAACCGGAGGACTGTGACCGTGACTGCGACCCACATTGTTAGTGGGAATCAAAATTATTCAGGCTCTATGGAAATGGCATGGGTATTTATCAAAATATTAAAAATATATATATAATTTTATATAGGAAAAACTATCCATATATTTCCACTCAGATATCTCTGAAGAACACAAAAACAGTAATTCAAAAAGATAGATGCCTACTTATGTTCATTGCAACTCTATTTTCAATAGCTAAAAAATGAAAATAACCTAAGTGCCTAATGACAAGGCCTGGCAAGCTACCCGTGACATATTCTATATGCTAAACACAGTAACAACAAGTCTCACAATGGAGACGTTAGTGGGCCCACTCGAGCAAATTGATGAACAATGGGAGGACAGTGCAGTGCAGTGCTAATGACAAGTGAATAGGGCCTGAAGTCAGGAAGGCATACACTCAAAAGAACTACACAAAGGAACTGAACCCCCTTTTCCACATCCAACACCTTTATAGGAGGCAAGGAAATCATCCTAAAGAATTTAGACTCTAATTTGATTTTTAGAGTACTACTCAACTATAAGAAAAGATGAAATCGGAGAAGGACAACATGGAGGGCGGGATCCACAGATCCCGAAGGGGAAAAAAAAAAAACAGGTTCCAAAAAGAGCCGAGATCATCGGGAAGTCCCAGATGGGGTAGGTACCGCATCCCGCCTCCCCCAGATGGAACCCTGGTGACCAGAAGCCTCTACAAGCACAGCTCGAGTATGCGGGAACTAGGACTTTTCCTCAAAACCGCGTGGCCGCTTATGCGGCCGCGTGACATCTCTCTATATACAAAGTGATCCATGGGAAGTAAACCACCCAACGTTTCTCTCTGAAAATCATAGTTAAGTTTGGAGCACGGCCACAGCCCCAGAAACACAAGGACTTAATGCATAACCCAGCAGCTTGGAGCAGAAAAGTGAACGGGATATGCGTTTATCCAGGCCATCATGTCTGTCCGGAGAGGAAAGGGTGTTGCCCCATTCGCCCTCATCTCTCTGGAAAGAAAGATGGCGGCCACATGGGAGCCTTGTGGACAGCAGGCATGAGCCGGGGGAGTGGGGGCGACTAAAACCTCATGGGAAGGGGTGCGTTCCGGTTCATCCTTCACACCCTACCAAGGTCACCAGTTGCCCCCCACGAGCGGCTCTCCAGCACGGCCACGACTCCAGAGCACAGAAACCAATTTCTTAACTATCTGACTTTCAGTAGAAATACTTCCAGGGTCAATAAGTAAAATAGCAGAAATCCAAAACCAACATTTAATTCT